CTTTGAGAAGGCAAGGGACATGGTCAGATGAGGGGCTGTTGAGGGAGGTGTTTGCACTCACCAAACACAGACAAGTAGACATTCCACGTTGGGTAGGTGGTCATGCGCGCTGTGATCTTCTGCGTGGTATAGGGACCGGTGTCCATGAAGTTGAGCACAGCGATGTGCAAGGACCCATCTGGGCTCACCGTCTCCCGACCCAAGTCGGCAAGACTGAGGGTCTGGCTGCTGGAGATCACGTGCAAGCTTATGATCTGCTGGGCCGCCTCATGCCCCCTCCTCGAAACCAGCTGAAGGACAGGGGCCTGTCCTCAGCCAAGCCCTGAACAGCTGGTGTGACATTTTTCATGTGCTGTCTTCATGAATCCTCGAGGCTGTGTTGTTAATATTTTAAGAGAAGAAAATAGAAACTCAAAGAAACAAAACCACCTGCCCAAAGTCATCGTGGCAGGTTGGATTTTTCAGAAGCAGACTCTGAGATGGAATTGGGGGAGATATTGAATTGTATCCCCCCTCCAAAAGATAGGTTGAAGCCCTGACTCCCAGTACCTCAGGATGTGACCTTATTTGGAAATAGGGTTGTTACAGATGTAGTTAGTTAAGATGAGGTCATACTGGAATAGAGTGGGCCCCTCATCCAACATGACTGGTGTCCTTATAAGAAGATGGCCACGTGAAGACAGAGACACATAGGGAGAAAACAGTCATGTAAAGACGGAGGAGGAGAGTGATGCCCTTACAAACCAAGGCATGCTAAAGATCGCTGGCAAAGCACTGGAAGCTAGCAAGGGACAAGCAGGGATTCCCCTCTATAGGTTTCAGAGAGAGCATGGCCTTGCCCACAACTTGATTTCCAACTTCTGGACTCCAAAACTGTGAGACAATAAATTTTTGTGTTACAGCCAATTTGTGGTACTTTGTTATGGCAGTCCTAGCAAACTAATACAAGGGCAAGATGTTTATTAGGAATCAAAGCCTGTGGAATGAGGGAAGAGGAAGCAGGACTGGGCAGAGGGAGAGGTCAACAGTCCTAACAAAGCTTCAGCCTATCTGGCGGGAGAAAAGGAGAGCAGGAGTTAGCACTACCCATTTTCCAAATGAGGATACTGAGGCCCTGAGAGCTTAAATGGCCTGTCAAAGTCCACACAGCATAAATTGCAGAGCCGGATCTGAATCCATGGCAAATAAGGAAATTAAGGGGATCAGAGAGGTTGAGTGACTTACCTCAGGTCACAGAGCTAACAGAAGTGGAGCAAAAAATCAACTTGTCTGGTGCCACTCAAAGCCACCATGCTCTGCAGCTTCCCCTTTAGACATGATCACTTAGCAGAGAGAAACTCCATCCCTGGGTCTGGCATAATGAACACTTGTCATGTTCATGGGCTCTGGGGGTTCAGAACTGGGACCAGCCAGGCTTTGAAGTCTGATCAGACCCCTGAGAAATGCCCTCCCCCCACCTGATTCTCAGCTATTCCCTCACCAGTAAGTAGCACCCGCATCCAGGCCTTGTCTCAGCCATGGGGAGGATCCACCTGCCTGGCCACGGGTTCTCAGAGTCCCAGGAGTGCTTCCTCCTGAAGGGAACTTGGCCTGCAAAGAATAGCCTGTGAGAGCTCCAGGGCCTCCCAGACACAGCCGGTTGGTGCATGCCACCTCAAGCCATGGCCCTGAGGGAGATGGCCTGGCCTTCTGTCCCCCTGACGAGGGCCATGACCGTGTAGCCCTGGCCACCGTCCTGGGGAGAAGTTGGCACAGCCCTCCTCGCTTTATAGCTATTCAGTGTCTCATTATCACTTCATTTTTGATCACGCCCCCGGCCCAGGACTTGTCCCCTTTGCTCGTCCTGGTCATCCCAGTTACAGGTGAATGCAGCGGTTGTGGGGGGCAATGGGGCTCCTGCTGGATGCTCCCCTCCTCATCTCCTGCTGTATAAATGGGGAAACAGAGGCCCAAAGAGAGCAAGCAGTTTCCCTAGGACCCCACAAGGAGTCTAAATCTGGCCGTGGTTGCATTCAGGTCTTTGACTGAGGCCTCGGCCAGAAGTCTGGTCCCATGTGTCCAGGCCAGTCTGAAATCCCCAGTGGGAGACAGGAGGTGAAATATTCTTCAGGAGCTCAGGTGGGCTGATGTGAAAGAAAAGAAAACTCGTTATCTACTGAGAAAGCAGCTTTGCTGATGCAACAGCAAATCCTGTGCTCAAGCTTCAACTCTCTCCAGAGCCGACACCTCTCGCCAGCTCCACCAGCATCAGCTCCCGCTGGCTCAGTGCAGTCACCCCACACTGGGCTCCCTGCTCCCGACCTTCCATCCATGCCTATGTCCATACCTTTCATCCTCCAGCCTATGTCCATCACCTGCTCAGAAGCTTCCTGTGGCTCCTGTCTCACTCAGAGACTCAGGGCCCACAAGGCCCCTGATCTGGCCCCATCACCGCTCTGTTCCCATCTCTCCCTTACCCCTGCCCTCCCTCTGCCACTGTGGCCTCTCCACTGTTTTATAAGCACTCAGGGCACGGTCCTGCCTCAGGGCCTTTGCACTTGCTTTTCTTTCTGCCCCAAACATTCCTCCCAAGACATCCACATGGCTTTCTCTTTCGCCTCATTCAGGTTTTTGTCCAGATGTCACCTCTTCAGAGGCGCCTTCCCTGACCACCTTATGTACAGCCCAGCATTTCCTGTCCCACCTCTCTGGTTTCTTTCTTTCCAAGGCACTCATTACTGCCTGACACATCACTCTCTGCTGCCTTGTGTCTGTCTGTTTGTTGTCTGCCTCCCCCAATGTCAGCTCCTTGAAGACAGGGATTTCTGTCTTTTTTTGTTCACTATTGTATGCACCAAGCCTAGGATTGTTCCTGACATACAGTAGGTGCTCAATAAATATTATGTGAATAAATGTATGAGACCCTGCACTGAGCAGTTTATTTAATCCAAATTAAGTGAAGGTTTCCATCCCCGTGGCACAAAGGTAGACGCAGAGGCTCAGAGAGGTGAGGTCATATCCACCCACACAGCTCATAAGGGGAGGAGTTGGGATTTGAACCCACATCTAATGCCAAAGCTATACTGTCCCTAGGCTTAGGGGGTTTACCAATAAGGCCCAGAGAAAATTATAGTGGCCATCCCCGTTGGTGTCTCTCTAGTTAACCAAGAAATCTCTCAAAGATAAAAAACAAAGGATATAAGGAGCCCCTGCAAGCTCTGGCACAAGGAGATCCCTTCGGCATCCCTCTCCCCCAACCCCAACTCCAAGACAGAGGCCGTCCATACTTGGCTGAGGACAGCTCTGCCCTCTGGTGGCCAATCGTGGCACTGGTCCCATTGACAAGGATAACGCAACAGGCAAGTGTTTAAAATCCCTAATACACAAAGAGCTCCTGCAAAGCAACAGGAAAAAGAAAGACAAAGTAAGTTTTTAACGGGCAAAGTATGGAAGTAGGCAATTCACAAAGGACATCATCCTCAAATGACCAATACACTTAGGAAAAGATATGCAGCTTTGCAGTGATAGAAATGCAATTTTAAATGTTGAGACATCAACGTTCATAAGCAAACTGGCAAAAAAAAAGGGGGGGATCCAGCATTTGGATAAGGGGTCTTAATTATATCCAGCATTTGGATAAGGGGTCTTCCAAACACTGTTAGAGTGTTTGGTGGCCATTCACTGGCATTGGCTTGTGCCACTCCTGATCAGCTGAAGGTGGGGGGCAGGGCAGCGTCAAGATGTGGAGCTTTAGGTGTCCCAGTCTACACTTGTGCCTTGACATTCCCTTTTGTTCTCTTGCATGTGTGTCTCCCCGTCATAACACCCCAGCTCTCGGCAGGTGGAAGAAAGGAATGTAAGAGGCAGAGTTCCAGGCTGGCCTGGCCACGGCACCTGTGCTAGCCATGCCCCTTCCCGTGCCAGCTGGGCGGGAGTGACTCAGTGCTACCCCACCTGCTGTTTTTCAGGCTCTCTAGGGTGTGTGGGTGGGAGGGAGTGGGGTGGTGTCAGGCAATGGTCCACACAAGGCAATGCAAATAGAAGAAAAGGGAAGACCCCGAATCTCTGCCCTCCCAGTCTCCTGCCCGCAGCACCAGTCTTTCTCCAATGGGATGCTTACTCCTCACATCTTTACTCCCATCCAGAAATCAACTGCTTTCTGTTACCCCATGAGTCCTGCTTCTGGCTTCTGAGGCATCTCCGGGGCTGGACTGCCAACTTGCTTTTCACTTTGGACTGAAAAGCTGCAAGAGCAGTAATTATGAATAAGAATTCCAGCTAACCTGTCAGTGGTTACTCTGTGCCAGGCACTCGGCTAAGCATGCCACGTACATGATCTCCTTTAATAACCTGACAACCTCATGGTAAACGTATACTGTAATCTCCATTTTACAGACAAGGAAACTGAGGCTCAGAGAGATCTAGTAATTTGCCAAACATCTCAGCTATAAAGCGACTGAGCTAGGACTCAAACACAGAGTCCATTCTTTGAAGCATTTCCTATTTGCTCTTTAAACCAACTTTTTTTTTTTTTATGAAGCATGACTTTACTGTATGATTGGAAAGACAAAGCACAATCAAAATCAAAGTCATGGCTACCAAGAGGTAAATGTGATCCAGTCAAAGCAAAAGTCATGGTTTTGGGGATGCTTAAGGTATTTTTCTTGTAGCCTTTCTGGAGAGCCAAAGAACAATAACATCACTTTATTTAAAAATATTTTTAAATTTTTATTTATTTATTAATATTATAATTTTTTACATTCTAAGATGGTGCCGAGCAGTTCAGGGGGAGGGAGAGAGAAAAAGGGAGAGGGAAATCAGGTGGGAAGAGGAGAAAGGAGGAGGGCATGGTTGAGGCCCGTGGCACCCCCTCATTCTGGCAGGGGAGGTCGGGGGCTTTCCAGCAGCAGCTCAGTCATTGCTGGGCTGGTTGCAGATGTCGGGGGGTGTGGCTGAGACTGTCAATCCCCACCACCCTAGCTCAGGAGCCTGGGATGCTTCCTCCAGCAGCTTGGTGGTCATAGTTGGGCTGGTTGTGGATGTTGGGGGTGCGTGGCAGGGGTCCTCAGGCCTGCACTGCCCCAGCTCAGGAGCCTTCCTGCAGCGTTTCCTGCAGCAGCTCAGTGGTCATTGCTGGGCTGGTTGTCAATGTTGGGGGGCATAGTCGAGGCCCTCAGGCCCCCACCACCCCAGCTTGGAAGCCCAGGGCACTTACTGAGGCAGCTTGGTGGTTGTCACTAGGCTGGTTG